TTCAGTTTATGCCAACAAAGGTCCCTAACCTTTCATAAATATGCACTTGGAGTCTAACTGGATGGAAACCATCCATTTCACCGTTAGTTGACCAAGAAAAGTGGATTTCGACCAAAGTGAAAGGATAAAATGGAAACTTTTTTATTTAATCCCATAAAACAATTAAAATAACTAAATGAAAATAAAAATAAAAGAAAAGAAAACTATTCATCTCCTTCTTTACCCCATCCCACCCTACCCAAACAAAAAATCAAAGCCACCCACTGCCATGGCCACAACCACCACACCTTTCCCAAATCTTAACAAAGTTTTCCCACTGCAATTATCTCTGTTTGGAACATTGAGCAAAGATTGTGAAGATCCTGGGCTAAGAATCTAAGATAATGCTTGGATCGTGAAAATACAAACACTTCTTATAGAATTGCCAATGAGAACTCCAGAGTTAAGATGTTGTTGCATCAAAAACCCGTTAGCGTTATACCCAAAGATCCTAACCACCGCACCAGCGACATGTGGTAGTGGCATAAGCCTGCAGTGGCGACTGCCAATGGATTTGATAGTGAGAGATGGTGGCACAAATTCCTTATCCATTGGGTTCACTTTCGACAACATTTCCTCTAGATCCCCCGTCTCCCTCTTAAATCTTCATGTCCATCATCATCTCCACCATTTATATTCTCTTTGCCCTCACTGTTAGGGTAAAACTTCAGGGATTCAATTGTCGTTGATACTCTGTTGCGGCATATGGTGGTTGTTGGATTGTGGTTGGCTGGGAAACAGGATGGGGATAGGGTAGTGGCTTGAAGGAGATAAACCTTTTTTGTTGTTTTTTATTTTTATTTTTTGTTTATTTATTTAATGTGGTAATTATAAAGTTACCATGTTACCCCTTTCAATTTGGTCAAAATCTACTTTTCTTGGTCAACCAATGGTCAAATGGATGGTTCTCATCCAGTTGGACTCCAGTGCATATTTATGAAAGGTTAGAGACCTTCGCTGACACAAATTGAAGGTTAGGGTAAAGTCTACAAAAATTGAAAATGTTA